ATTTGTATGAGAATACAAGGATGCGTAGACTTAATTCTGCATTTTCAAGGCAGCGGACACACCTTGCTCCCCCACCCTCCCCGTCTCTCTCTCTCTCTCTCTCTCTCTCTCTCTCTCTCTCTCATCACGGCTGTTACTTGGCCACGCTCTCATCATCCTCGCCCATTGTTCGCTCCGTAAGTACAATTTCTTTTTAAAAATAAACATTATGAATTCGAAAATCTTGGCTGTAACATTTGAAACGTAACGGTCGACTTGCATCTTTCTCACTTCCTCCCCCACGCCCATCTCTGCCGAACATGCCGCCTGCCTTTAGCCCAACGACACTGTCGCCTTCGTATCGAGTATGTATGTAGTCTTTCATTTTTATAATGTTTAAAGATCACGAAATGACATTTGCGGTTGGTATTTCAGCATGGTTTTTATAGCAGTGGCTCTTTCTGGAGGAGAAGTTCATCGATATTTAGGCTAATGGTCGGTCGGTTGGTATTCTGCAATACGTTTTTGTCATTGCCTGTCTGTGCAAATTATAAACACGTATCTGAAACTAGTTTACTAAACACGTTATTTTGAGCCAGTGTTATTAGATTGTAGAAAATTAAGGAGGAAATTAATAATATGGTCACAGAATTCAAATATCAGAACAAAAAGATAAAGCAAGGGATGTACAATTAGAGCTGAGGAGATTATTAACTAGTCCTCCTCATTTGTTTTGAACAGATTTACAAAACCAGACATTCCAGTAAAGCTGACAAACATTATTTAAATTTCCCACTTATTAACTGAAGAAGTTAGGCTAATACTAGGTGCTGTCTGCAGGCTGCTATCTGTAAAATAAAAGCCAAAAAATAGTTAATTAATAGTCTGGGCAGAGGGGGTTAAAACTATGCATGCAGAAATCTACTGAAAGACAGTTTCCCCTGATTAAGACTTATTAAGTATTTTTCTGACAGTAGATCCCACCGTCATACAGAACCAGAGTGCTTTGTGTCCAGTTATGCCAAGCATAATCTAATTAACCATGGCAATTAAGGAGACCCATGGAACATTAGGTAAATCTGATTTGTTTACAGACCACACAATGAAGTGTGTGTTACTCCTGTCAGACAACCGCCTGTTACTTGCTTCAGTTTCTCACTGTTAGTCACTTATAGCTTCAGAATGGAGGAGGGTGGGCTTGATTTCGAACCGCATTTCTCCTTTCATTTAGAAGAAAATTTGCTTCTTATAATGACTGCATCATAATTTAGCTTAGTTCATTAAAAAGTCGTAATGATAAGTCATTTAATCAATATTCTCAATGAATTACATTACAGTATGTAGTAATTGAGTCATATGTTTTAGACCATATGTTGTCAGAGGGTCTCCACAAGGGGGATGTGAGCATTAGAGTTCACTTTAATTTCATTAGAAGAACCATTATCGCCCAATAAGATCTCAGGAACGTCCGGGGATACGACAAACCAGATTCAACAAGTCTTGAAGACAGCGAGACAGTGTCTCTCTGGTCTGGTAGGCCAGATCCCATGTAGTGTGCACTGCAGTCCTGAACTCCCTGATGCACCATGGCAACAGATGACTAACTTGCTGTGTGCAGCGGCTGGAGATCACAAAAATGTGTCTTGCACACACACGCAAGCTGATTTCATGGTGTTTATACATCTTATATTCTCAATATTGAAGCCAGTTGAGTAGTTTATGATGTCTGTGCCTCACAGCTATCTGCATCCGCACACATTTTGTGGTGGATGTATATCACCAGACTGACATTTTCCTCTTCATGCCAGCATCTGTACAACACATGTTCACGTAAATGCCAACCGTCCTTTTCGGGGACTGAATATTTTCATATGCCAAGTGGATCATTCTGTTATCAGCAGCGACTTTGTCTGGCAGCATGAGCATTATTTCATGTCAGCCAGAGACCGCGCGCACAAACACATTGACTGCTCCGCCAGTTGGTTCATTTAATGTGCAGATTCAGTTCAGTGAGGTGTGATCTGAACTCTTGTGGAGTCTGGGCAAGACTTGGGCTGTGGGTCTAGACCACATGGCAGATGGGAAGGTTGCGTCTCTCGGTTAGATCAAGGACATCTCTGCTGTTGGAGCAGGTGTGTCATGGGCAAATCACCACAGCACTTTTTATGCATAAATGAGGCTTTTAAGTCATGCTTGTAGTAATGCATATCATTTACTTTCTCTTTGAGAATGCTCCTGACCTTATTAGTCCTAATAATCTTGTTCTGAACTCTTTTTTTCTATACAAATAAAGGTTCTTTATTGGCATTAGTGGTTCCATGAAGAAACTTTAACACCTATAGAATTTTTCAAATGCACAAAAGGTTCTTTAAAATGATAAAGGTT